GTTGCATGTTGTGAAAATGATGCAATCTAGGACATTTATACAGTGCGTGCCATTGTAAAGTCTATCCTTCACAACCTCATTTTCATCCATGTTAAATTGAATATGGCATCTAACCTGACTCAGGTCTACTGATGGAGAAACCTGAGCCATATCTAGAGACTACAATATTATAGTGTTGTAACTAGAAGCCATCTAGTAACAGCATAACTACCAATAAACTGTATAGCAATACACTAAAACATTCAGAACACTTTAATACTAGCAAAGTTGGCAACTACCCACAACACCTTAGCATTGTCTTTTATGCTATGTTTAGTTTCTGCTGTGAAGTCATATTTGCTGAAAAGAGAGTCTTGCAGTAACTTGCTCTTGTGAACTTTTATGCCCTCAAATGACTTATAGCCGGAGATCTACTGAGAAATACTGCTCCGTAATATATTTAATTGAAATAAACTGTCCTCAAAGCTTCCAAGATGGGATTGTTAGGGAACTCGATGCTTTAAATTCAATATTTAAGGTGCCCTGAATCCTTTTACGTGAGTTGTATTGACTGCCCCCTCACATTTTGATATCCATAACATCTCCCTCTCTCTCTCTCCCTCTTTTAAATTGCAGTGAACTGCTTTTGGGTTTATTTTCCACTTGTTCTCTATCTCTGCAGCACACATTTACTTCCTCAATACATGCAGTTTGAAGCAGCACATCTCATTACTTCCATATTACTGAGCTTTTGGAAGCAAAAAATCACTAAGCCTGCACAAAATTCTTGAAATGATGCTTGTTGATATGGATATCTCTCTGCGCTGCAACAATATTTGGGTGCAGAAGCGAAAAAACTGGCAGCAGAAAATGAATTATGAAAAGCATGTGGATAGAAGTGCAGTGAATATGATTATTTTATGGACTGAATGCATTTGTTAATAAAACAAATGCTAAATGATTCTGTTATGTATTTTTGAATGCTATTTTCCTCCTCCTCTTGTAGGTACTAAGAGCTTATGTAATTTTGCCATGTGACAACTAGTCCTGGTGACCTTTCTTTCTTTCTTTTTATATTTATACTTTTATTTAATTAGTGGATATATCGTTCAGCATTATGGGTCAGTAAGATATATATATATATATATATATATATATATATATATATATATATATATATATATATATATATATATATATATACTGTATATGCATAAGATGCATATACGTTTTTGTCGCTAATGCTCCCCAATGCTGCATTTATTTAATACAATACAATAATATACAATATATATATA